AGAGAGAGAGAGAGAGAGAGAGAGAGAGAGAGAGAGAGAGTTTTGTTTCATTTATTGTTATGAGTGTGCGAGAGAGAAAGAAATGGAGAGAGAAGGAGGGGGGGGCCTACCAGAGAGAGAGAGGGAGGGGGGGGCCTACCTGTGATACGCAACCTCACGCCCCCTCGCAGCTTCCCATACGGGGTCGCCGATCAGAGTTCTAGGAGGGTCGTGGCCGAGGATTTTTGGCCGTAAGGGTTGAGTCTCCCGGACGGAACGGGAGGCCCTCGTTTCGTGCCAGAGGTTTTCCCCGGAGTCGAACTGTCGTCGCGGAGTCCCGTGGGGGTCGGATCACTCCGAAACGATAAAATCAAAAAAGTTTTCCGCAAAAATGAACTGTCGTCATGCATCGGGACGGAAAAAGGCATCAAGGGGAGAGGGCCATGGCGGCGGAGGACCAAACTTTGGCTGTCATGGGTTTGGGGGATAAGTGGTGGGCTCGAAGCCTTCAGGCCTCATCATCGGCCTCACAAAGTGGCTGAACCCTCGAGTCTTTGCTGTGGAGGTGGTTGGTTCGAGGCCTTSAAGCCTCGGCGTCGGACTCACAGAGTCCGCACGAAAGTTTCCGGAAGGGTAAAGCGGCGGGAGGACTCGCCGACATCTAAATTCGAAATTGCGCGGGCAGCGCCCCCGCACTACGGGAAAGCTCGGGGAAACGTGTCGCTCCCTCGTAACCCAGGACCAGCCGTCGCCAAGAACACGAGTCCCCCTGGCGACACCAGCGACAATCAAACTGCGGCCGCCACACGGCGTGAGAGGCCGACCAGGGCAACACCGTCAAACCCTTATAAGGCAATATTAGAGTCGGGGAATCAAAACAATCAATCAAAATAAACCCGTTCCCCCTTATCTCACAAGCCCGAGGCGGTTCTTGCCAACACACTTGCTCCGTCTGCCTCAGCGCGCGCCGTACGTCCGCATCGCAATAGACGCTGTGGTCATCTGCGATGGGGAAGGTCGGTAGCGAGATGAGACGATCGGAGGTACGTGATGAACACGGACAAGGTCCCGCGTTCCCGGTTATCCGAACCAACACCGAATCCATACAACATCGTCGCAACTCTTCTCTCTCTAAGGTGGGTGCGTCGAGGGAAGACGACGAAGTCTAAGCTCTCTCCCCTTGCGGGGGCGTCAAGCATCCGCGCGGATGCAAGCGGTTGACGTCACCGGTACGGGGGCGAGAGGCTAAAAAAAAACGATGACTATCAGTTCAAAAAGGAAAGCAATCGAGAGGGAGAGAGAGAGAGAGAGAGAGAGAGAGAGAGAGAGAGAGAGAGAGAGAGAGAGAGAGAGAGAGAGAGAGAGAGAGAGAGAGAGAGAGA